TTGTATGCAAGAACATACGATTATGTATATTTCAGATAAAAATTCAACAGATTAAGATTTAGAACAGGACGTTTTGTAAAAGTTCAGTATCAAACCCAATAAATAATTCTTCAAACTATTGTGACGAAAATTGCGAGGTAGCACACTCCAAAGAGGTTCAACCAGTAGAGGGTAAAATTCAATATTCCAATTGCGGTATTACCCAGGGATCTATACTGGCTCCAAACTTTCCATCAGAATATTGGAAAAGTCTGAAATATAATATATTGGTTTGTTGAAACAGCACAATTCTCTCTTCTTTCCATTAAGATGCTGAACATGTCATCTGTCAATGCACATCATTCTTCTTCGGTTACGGGAAGTTCTGGGGAAAATTTCAGCTTTGAATGCCAGTGACTATCTAGGCGTTTATACTAAGGAAATTAATGCATTAATTCACCCTCAGAAGGTAACTATGGCCGAAGTGGTTATAATAATGTCAAGTCACACAATTCCGCTCACTGCGTCGATTAATTTGTTTGGTGTCAAATTGGATACCAATATATCTTTGTATAGTTGAGTTGCTGTAGCACAACAGTTTCTCAGATATCAAGATATCTTAAAGACGGATTCCTAACCCTAACTAAAACCAACGTTAATGTCTGTGTAAATACCATTTTCATAGAAGGTTATCAAACCGTTTCAATAATACTAAGTCTTGTGGAAAGATAATTAGCGTTATAAAACCGAATTGTGTAATCACCTACTTTGAGCAGTGTTATAATTTAGTGACATGACAATTCTCTGGAGTGTCAGAATTCTTCCTAAATGATAGCCAATTCAACAAAGAAACATGACGCCTGGTTACTCAACTTAATGAGAAGATGGCAAGTGGTGGATGAAATTAAACGAAAAAATATTTGGTTTATCACACATTTTTCACTTTATTTGAACTCACACAAAAACGAATCAAGAAACTTAAGATGTATGTTGATAATTGATAATTTAAGTGAAAGTAAAATGTGAATTCTTGCTCCATCGCATTTTAATTTTCTTTGTTCCCTGAATATTTTTCGTCACTAATTCCGAGGTGCCTCCAGAAAAACAAATATTCGAACACAAAAGGTATTCACTTAAAGTTTTCTTTTTATATGAAAATAAACCCAAATTTCCGTCACATTCACGTTAATCAACAGTGAATCAAATGTGTTTTGTTGGCAACGACTGTAATTAGGGCCAGGATTTATTCAGGTATGTGGAGTTCTGTTAGAATTTTGATTGTTATGATAACCAATGCTAGATGTTTGTGTAAACTTGGTCAGAGACTAGGATGTTAGTAATTCACTCCTCAGTTCCCGAATAACTAGTTTTCATGTTGTACAGCTTTTTATTGAACGCTCTCGAAGTAGACTGAAGAATATCACGACTAACCCCTCTACTATAGCGGGTTGGCTGTCTTTGTTCATCTTTCACTGCCTGATATGAAGGTTGAGCAAACCAGCCATCGGATGCCTGCTTCCGTGTAGCCTCGCTAGGTACGGGAATGACAGAATCACTTGTGGTTCTGTTATTTCCTAACTGAATGGCATTACAACGATGGCTTAATCCTAAGGGGTGTGTATCCGTGCCGAGAGGATGAATGATACTAAGCCTATCAGTTGTCTCTACGAAACCTTCGAGATACCGGGCGCCCTTTCGTCGTAGCATCGCCTTCTCACGGTAATGCGGGGCTCTGCCGTGATTGATCTTCTTTCCCGAGAGCTACTCGTGGTACTTTTTTGGACAGAGTAAATTTCAACATTCTTTCTGATGCTGAGTCTACAGAGGAGATGGATGTCGAGCTTACGATTCTGACTGACCTCTCGGTAAATTTAGATCAGGAGCAAGACTACAGAGGAGATGGATATCGAGCTTACGACTTCAACTGACCTTCCTGTAACTTTAGATCAGGAGGGAGTCTACAGAGGAGATGGATGTTGAGCTTACGACTCCAATCGACCTCCCTGTAAATTTAGATCAGGAGCGAGAGCTTCTCAACTCTCCAACTCCTGATCCAATAACTGAACCTAAAAAAAGGTTTGGTGGTGCAGCCAGGAAACGACTGAGTCGTCTCCTCAAGAGCGGGGTACCTTATGAAACCGACTCGCACCAAATTCTTGAGCGGCGGACGCAGAATCTGTCCCAGGTGCGTTCATGTGATGATTCACCAAAACCAGACGCGAAAAAGCCCTGCATGGTTGAATCTAAGGCATCGTCAGGTGTAGCAGACTTGCCAAAGCCCTCATATGGGAAGGTTGTCGCGGGTATCAAGGTGGTAATCTTGCACATTGATTATCCGACTACCTCATTAACGATGAAACAGCAGAGCATATACTTTGTGCCTGCCCCGTTAGGGACCGAATCAGGTCTAGAGTTCCGCAAAGCCGTACTCTTACCATCTGACTCGAAAGACCACTCACTGTTCAAACTAATCAGCTTCGTTAAGAACCTGGGTTTATTTGGTCGAGTGAGAATAGGTGTGAGCCACAATAAACCCTTGCGGGTTGCGATGAAGGGTCGAATAGACCCACTCACTTTGAAGCTAACCTAACCTAACCTATACACGCCTCAGCATCTTTCAATGCTTCATTAAACTCTCCGACTCAATTCTTTGTAGTATCGCTCGCTCATATATGTGGAGCTAGGACCCTAGCAACATCTGAGGCTGCTCTATTTTATCCCGAACAGCTGTGCTACGACGCTTCTAACTTCTGTATCGTAGTAGAAACTTTCAGAATCGAAAGTTAAAAAAAGAAAACTCGGTTCATTTTAAAAAGTGAAAGTGTCCACAGATCAACAACGACGAAAGATCCTTCTAATTTTGCAAATCCATCCCTGCAATCTCGTGTTTTTCGAGGTGGGGTTATCCGTAAGCGCAAGCGTAAGTATCGATTCGAACAACTGACTTCAATTCTACAAACTTCATTGGGGGTGTGTCTAATTTGCTCTCGCGTCTTTTTCTTTGATGTTAGTTTTCTTCATAGTCATTTCTATCGGTTAGTTGGATTCGCTTAATACATCCTTTGAAAAATGAGATTTAAGAATATGAGACGCTTGAGGTGTGAATGAATATTTTCCAAGTTGAATGAAAATTCGAAATACTCGAGAGTCTGGCATTTCAAGACTTATCCATACATATGTCAAAACATCATAAATTGATGTATTGCTGACACAAAAGTTCAATGATCAACTCAATTCGATTCAAAACTTTTCCCTGGAAATGAAAAAACTACTTCTGTAACCGTATATCAATCCTTCAACAAAAGTTACATACAGTTGGGTCGAACAAAGAATACACACGCGTCGTCAATAAAATACGCGATAAAGCATATGCTTTCATATAGCATATTTTTCTTCTGCATATGAGAAAAGAAGACAAAACAGTTAACATATAAGTTTAATCAGAGAGAGCTCTTGTTTTGATGATAGCTTGCACTCACACATCAGAGACAGCTATACAAAAGTTTTCTTTAGGTTTTCCTTAAGAAAACTATGAAGATTTTTTTCCAAAACAAAAATTAAGTTTGTCAATATAAGAACACACATTTTCACGGCTGAAAGCATGATTAAGAAGAGAAAGAGTCAAAATTTGTCTAGTCAAAATACAAAAAGTTTATGACTAGCTGGAATTAATTTTGTTTGGCCGGGATACTCAGGCGGTTCACTCCGTCTGAAGTGTCCTGCCCGGTATTGATAATGGGGTAATACCCCGAACCGGTCTACCGATTTGTCGTATCGACCAAATGAAATTAATTTCTGCTTTTCATATGCAGAAAGTAACTTGCGACGAAACTTCCAAATGGAAGACGCTGCACAGGTGTCTTATGGTTTTACTTCACCTTTCTGAACAGCATTAGCTGGGTGAGTTGTTGTTTTTCCATCGGGTATATGCCACACGTACTTACGAAATCGTAGGTCCACATGAAAGTCAATGGGGTAAGGTGTTTTTCACCTGAACTTTGGGCATGTAATGCACCTCCCGGAATGTCATTATCATTCCGACTCCAACCCCGAAGTATGTGTTTGTGGAGTTGTTTCCTGGCTTTGTCTGCAGGTTGCGCATTAAGCATCCTATTGAATCAGTGCAGAAAGAGTTTATGACTAACTGGAAATAATTTTGATTGGTCGGGATACTCAGACGGTTCACACCGTCTGAAGTGACCTTCCTGGTACTGATGATGGGGCAATATCCCGAATCCGGTCTATAGGTTGGTCATACCGACCAAGTGGAATTATTTGTGCTTTTCATATGCAGGAAGTAACTTGCGACGAATCTTTCGAATGAAAGACGTTTCACAGGTGCCTGATGGTTGTACTTCAGCTTCTGGCTGGGTTAGTTGTTGTTTTCCGTCGTCTATCTGCTATACGCACCTACAAATTCGTAGGTCCACATAAGAGGCAAGGGGTAAGATGTTTCTCACTTGATCCTGGGCATGTCATATGCACCTCTCTGGAATATGTTTATTATTCTGACTCTCACCCCGGAGTTTGTGTTTGTGGAGTTGTTTCCGGACTTTTTCTGCACTTTCCGAAACCGGTCTATCGGTGGTCGTCCACTTTTCGTATCTTTATCTACATGTTTATGAAAATCAGTGAAGAAAGCCGGACTCTCTTCAAAACTTGTACAGACTCTAACTGATCTATGCAACTCACTCTTTGTGGGAAGGTGGTCAAAGATAAATGGTCAACAATATTGGGAGATATCTTGTTCAGTACAAAATACTGTTTTGATCACAATCGAAGAAGCTTTTGTTAGTATCATGTTTCAATATGATTCGTTTTCCTACATTGAGTGACCTTATCCTGAAATACAGGCCGGGTCGATTTTATAATAAAGGATTCAAAAGTCTAAAAATAATCTCACATGTTGTGCCAGAAATGTGGAGAACACTAAACTATTTTATCTTCATGATTTCAACAAACAAACCATAAAACGAAACTCCAAATAGTTCAGAATGAAATAGTTAAATTTTAGAACGTACCCGCCTGTTTCTCGAGAAAGGAATGTAAACATGTCTTTTCTCTCTGTGATGGTTATGATGATGTTTCTTCCTACCCAGCATTTAGCACACTTTCACAAAAAATCCAACTAATCACAAAATGATTCACTATAATTATCACAGTTTGTCTTTTCCCTATATGTCAAACTCAAAAGAATGTGTACACATCACAGTCTACGTGTTTATTTGTATTAAGAAACTATCGTCAAGCCATTCTATAACCTATGCCAAACTGTTTCTATAAATAATCGAATATAACTTGGGCTCATATCACATCCTGTTTTCAGTTTCGTCAAAGCGCTAATTGCCCGATGTATGGGAAGATCCAGAGGGGTTAGAAATCGTCAGAAGATTCTTACATATTCTTCCTCAATATTCCAGTATTTCAGGATATTTCTCAGATGTAAGCAATATCACTAGATCCTTTCGATAGACATTACTTAATCATTTGAATCTAAGACTTGATACGGCATCGTTATTTTAGGGGGCAAACGTCGTTGGTATAGAATGAAAAACTCAAAAAGTCTCGAAACGGATGATTTTAGACGTTACATAAATGTTACGCCTGAACTTATATTTCAACATCTCATAGATGGAACTACTATTTACTTTGTTATCAACAGGACAGAGATATCAACATGCCTAGGGTCCTATGCGACTGTATTTCAAGCGGAAATTTACGCTATTGAATAGTGTGCGGAGAGATTGGAATAATCCAATTTCATACACAAATTAATAAAAATATTCTTGGACAATCAAGAGGCATGGGAAGCTCTTGACTTCTACCAAGCAATAGTTAAATTGGTGGCAAATTGCCAAAAACGACTCTCCTCGATAGGAAGACTCAACAGATTGTCTCTGGTCTGGATTCCTGGCCATACTGGCCTGGAAGGCAATGAGGCTGCTGATTCTCTTGCAAAGGAGGGTGCTGCAAGTAGATTCATCAGACCAAATCCTGTCATTGGCATCGCTTTAGGCTTTGCCAAACAGAGATTGAACACCTGGATAGCAAGAAGATTTATGGACGTCTGGTAGAATCTTCCAGGACTGGCTCAGTCCAAGGCGTTTATTCACCCTTCGTAGCTTGATACCAAACAGTTGTTGGACTAAAGTAGGGATGAACTACGGGCCTTCTTACAGGTCACTGTCATTTGAATCATCATATGCAGATATTCGGACTGTCTAAAGACAGTGTGTGTCACCTCTGTTAGGAAAATGATGAAACATCAGAGCACATACTTTGTGCCTGCCCTGCTGGGGACCGAATCAGGTTCTTAGAGTTCGGTAGAGCCGTTCTCTTACCATCCGACCTGAAAGACCACTCACCATACAAACTAATCGGTTTTATTAAGAAGCTGGGTTTATTTGGTCGAGTGTGGATAGGTGTAAGCCACAATAAACCTTTGCGGGTTGCGATGGACAGTCGAATAGACTCACTCACTTTGGACCTAACCTAACCTAGATCAGTTCGTAGAGATCAAAATTTCACATCTTGATATTTCTCTTATTAATTATAATTATGAACTATTTGATAATTTTCATCTCATACCAGTTTATTATTGTGTTTTTATTGCTAATTACCAAACTACAAAATATGAACTTAGGTTACATATCTATACTAATATTTGAATACATATTTACTCAAAATTATTTGGTCAATTCACAAAACATTAGCAATTCTAGGAGGATCTGGTGATGGCTGTTATCAACGTTATTGATTCATGTCTCATTGTGTGGGTATGAGATTTTTTAAGGATATTGCCCGATATAGAAGATAAACCTGTCAGCAAAGTTCTCATTTCCGAAGATATTGACTTCTCAATATTCCTCACCATCCATCGTACTCTTCTTACTAACAATACGTTCTAACGTGGTTATACCGACTCCAACCTCTTCCAGAAGAATATTAAACTCATCAGTATTGCTCTGACCCAGATAGTTTTGATAATATACAGAAATTTCCCAAATGTTTTATTCAACAACTGTTCGGTGCATAATGTTAACGGTTTGGACTTGTTTCTGAAGAAGTGATAACATATTCGAAATCTATAAGAATAAAAATTATGGAATATTGGAAATATCGAAAATGCAAAAATTGTCAGTCCCGAAAGAGTCGACTGAGGTAGTTGGAAATAAGAAAAACTAATATCAAAAAATTGTGAAGCAATAAACAATGAATGTAAAATTCAAGAATGAAACAAATCTTATTTGGAAAGAAAACTCTAATTATTGTGGCCTGAAACTGAAATGAATTTATAAATCAATTTAAACTTCACTTGCGTTGACACGCTTGCGGCTTCCCATCTAGCCGAAAGTTCCAAGTCTGCTGGAACTGCAGCATTGTCTGGCGAGAAATTGAGAAAAAAAACCAAAATCTTGGAAACAACTATCTGTTTCATCCAGTAGCGGTTCAAACTTTTCGTGTTTATGGCCCGGAGTGTCTCTGTTATTCGTTCATGAACTCGGCAGGAGAACAGGCCAAGCAACGAAAGATCACCGTTCTACCTCTTTTTTGATAGAAAGAATTTGTATTGCTATTCAACGTGGCAATGCTGCTTCAGTACTTGGAACTATTCCTCCTTCACATAATTTTGATGAGATCATGCATTACCCTAATTTCAGTACGGAACTGAAACCTCTTCGAAACAAGCCGAGATATGTGGATATTCATCAGTCTCCTATCAAGGTTAATTCACAAGTGATTTGTCCACCTTCTTCTTTTTCAGTGCGGTCAGTGGACTCAGGTCATTCCCCAAATATGAGTTGCAGTCCTCGTATAACTGGTTCCCTTTCAGTGGAAGAGCTTCATGAAACAAGAGCCGAATCGATCCCTCTACGAAATCCTTCTTCACTTGGAAGGATCGATCGCAGCTTGAGAAATGGTTCTTATGGAGATTGAAACATGTTCTTCCTTACGAATCAGTAGATAGTTGTCCTGAAAATCTACAGAAGAAAATTGGATTGGATAATTTAGGAAACACTTGCTACATGAATAGCATTTTATAAGTTTTGTTCATGATGAAGAATTTCAAGAACGAAGTTTCAATGATGAACGAGAACGGGAACGTTTCCTACTTATTCATCAAACTTAAACACCTGTTCATGCAGCTGTAGTTTCGTAAGAAGGTATCATCTTTCCCTCCAACCTATTTCCCGGAGTCTTTGAAGTCCACTAGATACTCGTTAGGACAACAAGAGGATTGTTATTCTTGGGGTTCTTGTTGAATACTCTTCGTGAGCAAAACAATAGCAAAATCTACCTGACCGCTCTGGACTGAATGATTCCGTACAGCCCATCTCGTCTTGTGTTTGTAAATCTTTTGCTGGAAAAATCCTCACTTGTTTACTTTGTGGTAAATGTTCAAGAGCGCACCATATGGGAACAATGAGTTAAATGTCAATGATTTACAAGAAATACAAATAAATTTTGAAAAAACATTCAATGAATGAAAAAAATAAGAAATATTGAAAAAGTAAAAGAGGATACCTACATAACCAAAATAATTCACGACATTCCAATTATCTCCCAACGACTAGTGCGGAATAGAAACCCATAGTAGGTATGTCTTGTGAGTTAAGATAGAGCCTTCAAAAAGTATTTCATTGAATTTATCAGTTATGGTCTATTCAAGTCCTGAAAGGGTAGAAATGATTGAACTTTTTTCAAATATAATGAATGTAGAAATCGACCTGCCGAACCATTAACGAACGGCATTCTGGGAACATTTTTCGCGAATTGGTTATAAAATTTCGCGGAACTGGATAGGTTCAAATTCCAGTAGAGAATACACTCATTACAAAAAAAATTGGCCACTACGGTGGGCGTCACTTTAAAGACCTCGGCAAACATTAAATGAATTGATAGTGAAAACCATTAAAAAACATTACACAATTTATATAATATAAATGTTTGTTGCGAGATTTATCTATTTCATGAAAAACGTAATCTTTCTCTAGAATTACTGATGTCAATATCTTCAATATTTTATTCGTGTTCATCTTCACAGATAAATTCCGTGGCAAGTTTATTTATAACATAAATTGTGAGATTTATCGAATTCACGAATATGATTCAATTTTAGGTTATATAATCCTCAATCCTTCCGCCATATTGAATTCCCCCTTGAACCCTTCCATTTGATATCCATGTCATGGTAATGTATAAAAACATTGTCCACATCTTTGAAAGTCCGCCATTTCGAATATAAAGTGCCGTCATTTAATTTTTATATTCTTTTCAGTCTATAAAAACAGTAGTCCTCCGTCTGGACCATTCAGTCCACCATATGGGACTTCTTCAACAGTAGATCCAAAAACTACAACTCCAGTAATCACAAGAGAAAATTTTGATAATGCATCCGTTTTTCCTCCTCTTTTTGGACGAATGTCGTCTCACTTGGAGCTGAAAGCTCTGAAGGGCATTCATCAGGAGTATTGGTTTGTATCAGTCTTGAGGGTAGGAAATAAATAGTTTCAAAAAGTTCGGTATTTCTCAGGTGCTAATAAATCGTTAGATATAGGCTGAGACCTCATATACTGGACAAGCCAACAGCAAGTCCATCAGTGTCTCAGACGCCTCCGGGATCTATATACCCGTCTACAGTACTATAGTAGACATCATGAGAGCTCAGGAATCTTTCAGTTTCCGACTTCAAGCCACTCACTCTGAAGAAAGTAAGGATCTGATGCTTTGATAAACCGATGTCTATGTTGTTGACAACGCACATATGCATCGGCTTATCCTTGGACAGACACAGAAGTAGTGCCTATAGTCATCTCTGCGGCCTTTATGTGGGGATTTTGCTGATCGGATTTCAGATCGGTGACAAAGTTGTGTTTACCTGGTACAGAATCGAAAACTAAATCAAATTTATCGGCCGCTTACGGAGCTGTCTTGAAAAAAAATTTTCAAATTACTTCTGATGACTTGGGGACACTCACGGGGACACTCCAAACTCAAAAATCCACGACCTCTTCGTTGTTGGGAGGAGTATAATCGTGAAACGAACGATTTGGGATGCAAATTTCTATCATCATTATCTTTATAAAGAAAATATTCATATTATTGATTGGATGTATAATAACATCACTATAGAAGCTAACCATGGATTGCCATTCATACTAAAAGCCTAAGCAAAATTTTTGCTCAGTTGGATGAGAATAACTGTTTTGAAAAACTCACGAACATTGCAAGTTGAATGAAATCTAAATGAAGATGATTTTTGTCGCATGTAATTTTGCGAAATTATGAGAGGAGGAGCAATGGAAAATGATAATTTTCTATTCAATGCGTGTGTTTCTGATGATTGAATCC